TGGGCGACGGGGCGCGGAAGTAGTGCACGTGCGGCGGCGCGGCGGGGACGGCGCCCCGCGGCGGCGCGGGGCATCGGAGGAAGACCTGCGGCGGGAGCGGGGGCCGGTGGGCGGGGCGCGGGCGCGGGAGCGGGAGGGGGAGGCTGGGGGAGCCGTCCATGGCGTGCGGCGAGCGAGGACGGGGGCGGGGTAGGGTTTGGCCCGGCCGCGGCGGGGCGGCGAGGTGGGAAAGCGGGAAGCTTTGGCTTCGGGGGGAAGGAGGCGGGAAGAAGAGAGGGAAAACCAACTCAAGAGCTCTCCTTGTTTCTCTTTCCTCTTTCTCTCTCTTGTTCTTCTTCTTGAGGTTTTTCCTTGGGATTTATAGAGGGTTTTCGGCTCATGTTTTTGGCAAATGTTTGTTGCCGAGATTATCCGCGGCGTAAGACGATGCGCGAATCGTTATCCCGCGCATCGGCGATTATGGGAGGCGGGCTCGAGGCGCGCGTTTCCTTTTGGAATTCGACCGAGCTTACCGTTGGAGGTTTAAATGTTGCCGTCGAAAGGCGAAAGCCATAATGCTTCCACTGTTGCGCTTGCTGGAATAATAAATGGGGGCTATCGGAGGACGGCTAAGAGGGTGCTTGGATACAAGGGACTATTTTTAGTCTGACTAAAAATAGTCTCTTTTAGAGGCTAAAGTTTCAAGCACCCCTGACTAAAGAGAGGCTAGGACTAGTCTTGAGGCTAAAATCTTTTAGTCATGGGAAACCTACTAAAATATGTATTACCTCTCTCTCTCATCATTTAATTCCTCTCCTTAGTTCTGGATTGGAGGGTTTGGAGGATAATAAATGCTCAATAACTAGATTTTAATCTCTTTAGTATTTGGATCCAAGCATGGGTGAGACTAGCAAGTTTTAGTCCCACTACTTTTAGTCATGGGACTAAAATGTATCCAAGCATGCTTTAAGGGGAGGGGACTGGCGAGGGTACGGAAAGCATTGAGTTCTCCGTGTTGACACGGCATGTAACACAGCTGTAACGGGTGGCCGGGTGATGCAGGAGATGTGGATGTCCGAGGCGTGGCGACGCAACTACACAAAGGATGACGGTTTGTTCGGATATGCATAGTACCGCGAGCGCAGAACAATGTACGTCCACCCTGTACGGCGAAAAGCTTCGACTTCTTCGCGTTAACATGGTCGATATTACATGTCTAATGGGTTGGCCGGGTAATGCTGAAGACGCGGTGATACAGCTAGATAATGGGTGACGGATTTGTTGGGATGTAAAGTGCTAAGAGTTGATCATCGTAGGGGTGTCTCGTGTGACTAAGAACACAAAACAATGTGCGGGAGTCCATTCCGTAGGGTGTGAGATAGGATCAGGAGATATGTACATAAAGTATATTGTCCATATCTTGATTTCTGTTGGGAATTGGCCATATCTTGTTGATGCTAGCAACCATGCATATGTATTATTATTATTATTATTATTATTATTATTATTAGAACGGGGTACTCAATCTGACAAACATCTCGCAGAAAGACGACCAAAAGGGCCAAAAATCGTTGACCCGGTGGTTTTAAGTTTTTGAACCAAATTTTTTGAAATGTATAAGGAGCGGGTATAAATGTTGTTCCATGCAATCTTGTAACCAGGGTAGAGAAATATACATACGAATGGGTATTTTAGTACAGGAGGATTTGATCGGATCGCGTAGAGACGTTGGCGGCCGGCCTGCACTGCAGAGCAAGCATCGGATCCCAGCTACCGGTCACGTGGCGGGTGGTGCCGGTCCAGGGTGCACCGCGGCCGGCGTTCCCCTGCTTTGTCTCATTGGCGCGCGGGCCCCGTCTTGCAGGTGCATGTGGACCGCGTCCAGGCCGGCGCGGCAGGAGCAGGCGAGCGAAGCGGGAAGGAGCACGAGTTGGAGGCGGCCGAAACTGATACGCGGCGAGGCTAGGGGTGGGACCCACTGAGAAGGCTGGGCCCACATGTCACAAGAATGCCTCGGGCTGATGCTCTAGCGTGTTGCGCGCTTTTTGTTCTCCTTTGCGACGCGACCGTGTGCGTGCACTGGCTGCTGGCCGGGCGGACCGCGGCCCCACATGTCATGCTACGCGCGCGAAACTTTTTGTTAGAAACGGTACACACGGCTCGCGCTCATATATACGCGCATACACTTAGGACGCGTTTGCTTTCCTACATGTATCTCAGCCAGGCCCGCGCGGGAAGAAAAATGCCCGTTTGGTTACTCACAGTCATTGTTGGACCTGCATAGCACGAACATTAAAGCACATCTAGTCCTGCATCTCTGGGAACGCTCATATCGGTCGTTTTTCCTCAGCCAGGCACGAGTGATGCAATGCCCCGGAAGGCATCCCCTCTTTCTTCTAAGGACTATCGGTAATTTTACTTAGAGCTATAGTTTTATTCATCACATGATATACGTAAATCTTGGAGCGTCGTGTGCTTTTTTATTTTTATTTTAATAATACGTCATGCTGGTATGAGATCGTTCTTGATTGATTTATAGAATGCTCTTTGCATTTCACTTATATCTTTTGAATATGTCTTTATAGGATGCTTGATGTGCTTCACCTATATCTTTTGAAGTTTGGATTGCCTGTTTTTCTGTACATAAAAAACCGCCATTTATAGAATGCTCTTTTGCGTCACTTATATTTCTTAGAGCATGGGCATATCTTTTGTAGAAAAAACTAAACTTTCTTGCTTCACTATCTATTTAGAGAGTCATCGAGAATTGATCATTCATATGGTTAGTCATAAAATCCTACATAAAATTGTAGATGACTGAATATGATATGTTTGATTCCTTGCAATAGTTCTGCGATATAAAGATGGTAATATTAGAGTCATGCTAGTGAGTAATTGTGGATTGATAGAAATACTTGTGTTAAAGTTTATGATTCCCGTAGCATGCACGTATGGTGAACCACTAGTAGAAAAATACCTATTAGTCCTGGTTCATGAACCGGGACTAATGGGTCGTTACTAATACCTCCACCCATTAGTCCTGGTTCAAACACGAACCGGGACAGATGTGCCTCCACGTGGCAGGTCCGCCGAGCCCAGTCAGGGGGGGCCTTTGGTCCCGGTTGGTGGCACCAACCGGGACCAAAAGTCCATATTTTTTTTAGAAAAGTGGCTGCTTTAGGGGTTTTGGGGGTTATTTTTAGGTTGTTATTAGCTAGCTAATAGAGAGAAGTGTCCTCTCTTATATCTTCATCCTTGGTTTACCAACGCTGCTGCTATGTTCATTTCACCCGCTGATATAACAACTCATGCATGCTCGCATCATACATCATCATATATAATAACAAGTCCTACTAATCATGCATCGTCATACAACTTCTACTCGTTATTAATAATAAGTCATACGATCATCATCCTCATAGTCATCGAACCCAAGCCTACATAATTGTTCTTAGCACATGATCATCAGTATCAGGTAGGACCTAAACACCCTTAAGGTAAAATAGCATAAAACAATATAGACCCTGACTCTCCATTATGAAGAATGGCGATCATCCTGCCTCCAATTCTTGCCCTTCGCTGCCTTTTGCTTCCAAGAAGCTCCTTACGACTGTCCATACATTTTTTTCATTCTTTGATTGTCATGTCTCCACTTCTTTTAGAAACCCGGTATGGACAGTTGAGATTCGTAGGAAGACCTGGTTGTATGTTCAAAACATGAAGGGTACTGTGCGTATACATCAAATGAGGCACACAATCATTCGGGATTATCTGTTGAAAAACATAGTAATAACTTCGTAGTTAGCAATGATGTACTAGTTTTAGAAGTGTGCAAAAAGATGCACGGATATCGTAATAGTAAAAAATCTTACCAGGGTATCTCCATGGTAGTTACCGTAGTTCAACACGTGCACTAGTGACACGTATTGACCATAATGTTGAGGAGTTTGATTGTAGATATTGTAATTTTCAAGATCAGTACAAAATGCGACTAGATGATTTTTCTCCTGATAGGTTAATTCGGAGCCTTCGGTGTAGTAGGTTCTGTCTACCATCTTCCGCACATTCTTTGAAGAATGAAAATAAGCTGTCAATGGAAATAAGTTGTCAACTATTTTGAAATAAACAATATAAATTACTTAATAACTATGTTAAGCTCACATGGGGGAAGAATTGGAGGTGTATCCACAAGGACCCAAATCGAATGTCTCTCTTGCTCGATTGTAGGATCACCAAGATCCATGGTGACAAGCATACCCTCATCAAGACCATACATCTTGCAAAGTGCTTCCCAATTTTTGCAACCAATATGGGTTACACTCTGAGCATTGTACAGCTTTACTTGAAAATCCACACCATGATGGGTACTTAGGATAATTTTTTTGGTTTCCATACTTTCATGGTCTTCAAACCCCATCCTCTCCAAGACATAGCATCTTGCAAAGCATGGGATAAGCTAGTCGAATTGGGAAAGATGAAAAATACACGTTAAAATAGTTGAAGTCGTGCTTAATTACGAAAAAAACTATTGTGGTCGTTGCGTAGCATATGAACATCGAAAGTCTCCTCGAGCTTAATGCTGAAGCGCTGATCTTCGTCCAGCTCAATGAACCTGTCGCACATACCTCGTTCGTCGTGGCACCAGTCGCACTTTCCCGGGCAGTTTTCGTCATCCGAGTACGACATTTCCGGCCTATGTTCATAATTCAAATATTAAACTAGATTATTAATCACGGGTTGACTATCGGTGATGTACGTAGCTTCTCCTTTCATTCCCGAGTGCATTATTACACCAAATTGTCTAGCACACGGGAATGAAGGAGAACTTATCCAATATGAGCATTCAATAAGCAAAACCAAATCATAAAATAAGCAAAACCAAATCATAAAATAAATTAGTATTCAAATTAGCATGCATTCAATAATTATAAGCAAAAGTACATCGATGTCCGTACATCGTCGAATATTATCACTAATATAGCATCACTAATACAACTAGAACCGTAGCGCCCGACGGGTATCGTCGCGGGCGGTGGACACCCAAAGATAAGGAACCATCACAGGATCATAGCTCCAGTGAGATCCCTGAAGAATCTGCCAGGTATTGTCGAACCTGCCCTCCAATGCAACCATGTAGTGACGGACGTGCTCGTCCTCCTCGCTGACACGGTGACGTACCAC